GAGTACGATTCTGAATGAGACCAATGGTCCTGATATGTTCTAACATTTGGAGATCAGATATGCTGTATTTAGAGGATGGTAGCCAGTTCTGGAATGAATTCAGTCACAGGGATGAAAGGCACAGCACAGGGAACCTGATCAGTGGAAGGGCAATGGCCTTGTCTGGTGGCAGCGGGTAGCTACACTCGCGGTGAGCACAGCGTAACGTGTAGACTTGTCGAATCACTGTTGTACGCCTGAAACTCACGTAACGTTGGGGGTCAACTATACTTCAATAATAATAATAATAATAATAATAAAGATGGTAACTTCTGACTAGTCCTCTGGAGTGGACAGAATTTCCCTCATCCGTGCTCTCTCTCTTCTTTGTCCTTGAAACCAGGAAACAAATACGTACAGAATTTGCTAGCTAGGATGAGTGATACAAACTGCACCCACAAAATCATGGAGAGCTAGTGGCCTACATAGGAATCAGCTCATGACAACCTTGGCCTCACTGTCAGAGGCTCTTAACCAACAGAGTGCAGTTGCTACAGTTTTGAAAATCGTAATTATATCCCTAAGACGGTCCAGTAGTTGGTTCTACTTGGCAGTACTAATGATTTTTGCTCTCTCTGTTCCTGCTTGTTTGATTGATGTTTTTATTGAGTTATGATGTATACATGGTAAGATGTACAGTCTTATGTGTACAATTCAGTTTTGACATATGCATATATTCCTGTAACCCACATCCCTTTTCATTTTATTTTAAAAATTTTGGAATCCTCTTAAGTGATGAACATTTGGGTCCAAAGGCAGATTTCTGGAAAGGAATCCCCTATTCAGTCCACCGGCTGCCCCCTCCCCGTGAAAAACAACAACAAAAAATTCTCATCCAGTCCTTTCCTGAGTTCCCCAATCACCACAGAGGACTTAAAGCCATAAGAACATTTTGTAATCCCAGCTTTCTGAAACCTAACAGAGATTTTGTCATCTGAAAACAAGGGAGAGATTAAGTGCGGAATTTGATTCTGACAACAGCAGAAAGGAACGAGCTAGACAAGAAACGTCATGGAGAATTAATTCAAGCACCACTGTGCAAACGCTCCACAACCTTTTTCTAGACTCTAAATATGACGCATAGTCCTGGTCAGGGAAGAACATTTTTTTTAGAGGAGTTTGCTACAGGGGCGTGACATTATCAGGGTGGAAAGTGTTAAAGGAGAGACCCATGTACATTTTTCAGAATTTTGCCTTCAACCCTGCCTTAACTCCTTCTGAATGGATTCTTTTAGAAATAAGACACACAGACAGCTAAACACACTGTGCCCTCTACACGGCTGCCACGGTCTCAGACCCATCTTCTCGAATTAACTGCCTTCGTATGCCGGGAGGTCTTCCCAGTGCTCCAAAACAGCTCTTCTTTCACATCGCTTTGACCAAGGGTTATGCAGTCAAATAATATTACAACATATAGCTATTTAATAATTACAATTTGTTTAAGGGCAAGTGAGACGTTTTATGTGAAAATGCTCTTGAAGCTCTTGAAGGTGTATATAATCCATACTGCTCTTGAAGCTCTTGAAGGTGTATATAATCCATATAGAGCATTTAAAAACTATTTCTCCAAGACAGGATACTTTGCAGTAACTGTATTCCCATTGTAGCTCACAATCAGAAAGGTAAGCCAGTCTCATTTTCCACATCCAGAACTTTCCCTGTCTTAATGATGGTATTTCTGAAATATTTCCTGAATCTGACCCCACCTCTACATTTAGTCCTTATTACCTCCCCACCAGACTTAAAATCCATAAAGAAAGGCACGATGGCCATTTATCTATTGCTCTCTTCCTGATGCACACGGGGCACATGGTGGGCACTCACTCATTTTTGTGAAATCAATGGACCGAATTCGCTAAGGTCCTCTAGTCCACTCCATGATGCATCAGAACACAGTTCTACCTGTGTCATGTACATACTTGTAAAACCTTCAGGGACTCTCTGTCGTTGGTAGAATAAAGGACACACTACTGAATGTCACATTCAAATTCCTTCACAGTCTAGTTCCAAGCACCTTTCCAGGCTAGTCTTCTACCCCATGTCCACCGCCCTCCACCCCTGCCCCCGCCTGCCCCCATAGGATTCCCAAACACTCCATGCAGGCTCATGCTCCCAAACCTTCACTGAAGCTGTTCCCTCGGCCTGGAATGACCTTCCTTTTACCTTCTTTATTCACCTGGTGGAATTTCACTTCTCCAAACACAGCTCAAATGTCACCTTCTCCAGCACCTTCCCCAGCTCCCCCTAAAGGGCCTGTTTTGGTGCTCTCCTACCCAGCTTGTCATTCCCTTATTGCCTGTTTCCCATTACATTATAATGGCTTTCATCCTCTTTTGATTTTTCTGTAAATTCCTTGAGAGCAGGGACTGAATCTCACCATCATTCCTTAGATATCTCCCGAATCTGACCACTTCTCACCACCTCCGCCACCAATCATTCGAGTTAAGCCGCCAACCTCTCCCACCTGTTCCATGTGACAGCACCTGACCGGATGCATGTTGCCACACTGCTGTCCAACAGAGGACCTGCTGCAAAGCAGCCAATTGTCCTTTAACAATGTAAACAACCATATGCCACTCCTCTACCACAAACCCACTAGTGGCTTCCCTTCACACTTAGAAAAAACCCAAAGCCCTTGGCTGTCTGGTCCCTGCCTTCCCCTCTAATTTCATCTGTACCATTCTCCCCCTTGCTCACTCCAGCCCCATTTGTCTCTTTGCTTCTCCTTGAATATGCCAAGCTGTTTTCTCCTTGGGACTTAGGAACCATCTCCCCTCTGCCAGGAAAGCTCTTCCCCTGGATGTATGCATGGCTTGTTCCTTTACTTCATTGTGGTCCCTGCTCAGATGTCCCCTCTCCAGAGAGGCCCTCCCTAATAACTGTCTAAAAGAGCACCCTTCATTATGCTCTCCTGTCTTACCTGCTTTATTTCTCTTCACACTAAACGCCACCAGTTGTCGCCATTAATTTCCCATGCATTTATGTAGTTGTTCAGTTGTCACTGAGGAGAGAGACTGTTTTGTTTCTCACCATGTCTCTCGCATCTAGAACAGTGCCTGGCGAATAACAGGCACTCAAGTGTTCATTGAATGAATGGATGAATCTTTGTATCCCAGGTGTCTAACATGGTGTCTGGTTCTAGAAATCCTTAAGTGGATGAACAAATTAGCAAATTTTACAAATGACACGGAATCTTGGCATATATCCAGGATGACCCAGGATCTGAGTGCAAGTGTTTCATCCATTTGCTCCATGAACATAATCTTGCTTTTATTTAATATCATAGGTGATGCACCCAGGTTCCTCATTTTTTTCAGAAATTGGTTGTTGACAGAGGTCCTGCCCAAGAATACTTAGGGAATTTCAGAAAGACAACCAAGGGTGGCACAGCAGGGACTTTGAATACCCTTCTGCCCCACTGCCTCTTGTCAGCTCCTGAGGGATTCTGATAAGGTATTTTATCTCCTGTGATTTATACAGAATGTACACTTGCTCTTAATCCCGCTGAACACAGATTATCCTGAGGGCTGGAACAGGTGGAACATTGATTGACCCCGAACTCTGAGAGGGTGGGCCCTTTACACCCTTCGTATTGGAGTGGATATTGCAATGAGGCTTCTGGGCGGCTGCACCCCAGCCTGCTTTAGTGTTTGTGCTTTAGGAACCTGAGTGGCTTTGATACGGCAGTTCGGTCCCTTCTAGGTGAGCTGGGGAACAATTTGCCACACTTTTCGTGTCCACTTTGGCCTCTGGCAGTTGGTTTTCCTGCCCATTTTGTTTGTTCTTCTTAATTCCTTGCATATGGGGATGTAAAAGAAGCAGGCAGTGCAGAGGAGGGTGAACCCTTGGCACGGGTGAAGTGTAGCATATTGGCAATCTGTCCATCTGTCCTCTTAAGGCCAAGCGGTGACCAGATTTGCCTGATTCTCATGCATGGATGGCATCAGGGCCAGAGACCAGAACAGGGAGAGCCTGGGAGGTTCACACCCCATCCCCCCCTCAAATCTCAAGTATCCCATTACTAGACAAGAGTGGTAGGTGGGGCCTCATAAGGTGCAGAGGGAAGGGAACTAACTAGGTTAACTGCCCGTGGGCCCTGTTTCAAGTACTGAGCCAGGCCTTTTATGTGCATGGTGTCTTTGGATGTTACCAAGAGTTGGTTAGGATTGTTACCTGCATCTCAGAGAAGAGAAAAACCAGGTTCAGAGAGGTTGACACTTGCCCAAGATGGTAAGTGGCAGAACTAGGATCTGAGATTCCAACCAGGCCTGTGTGACTCCCTGGCTGCCCACCAAGAGCAAGGATTTCTCTAACATCTAGAAGGACGTGGAGGTGGGGTGCGGGGCGGGGGGCAACAGCTGGAGGGGCAGCAAATGGGTCCTACCTGAAACTTGATCATCACCAGGCCCTGCAAAGTCCTGGTTATACAGATGCCACCTGGCTTCTCTTCTGTTTTGAAAACTGAATTCTCTGGCTGATGTACCAGGGTCATCCTGGTCGCACTCCGCGGGACTGGGGTGGATGAAGTACCCCACAGACACTCCTTCCAGCAGTGTCCTTCCACGCCATTCTGGCTCCGGTGTCTGCACGTAGTGCCGTCATAGAGTGCCTTCCTCCTCCTTAGGTCGCCAGTTTACTGCACCTCTCTCATTTCCAAAGTTGTACCCCCTGGGGCATGCACCCCGCCCGCATTTCTGGAGCTTCCGGCGGCTCCGGGTCACTGTGGGAACCTCCAGGCGTGTTAAGAGGCACTGCGGGCCACCAAGGTCCGAGCATCTTTGGGGCCATTCGCCAAGCCCCTGCCCCAGCGCTCCCGGCGACGCGCCGCAGTGCCCCCTCCGCCGCCAGGGGCCGCCCGAAAGCGGGGCTCCTCGAGCGCGGGGCGGGGAAAGGGGCGGTGCGCGGCGGTACCTGGGCCGCCGAGGAGCCGGGGGTGGGCTCTCCGGGGACAGCCGGCGGCCCCCCCAGATCCGCACCGCCAGCCGCCGGGAAGCTCGGGGCTCCGGGCGTAGAGGCTGCGCTGTCACATGGGCGGCGGCGACGGGGCCGCATTTAAGCGGCCGGGGGACGGCGCCCGCCTCCAGCGCGTCCTCGGGCTTGGCTCCCGCCGGGCGCCCCGCTCTCTGCCCGCCGGGGGCCCCGCGCCGCGCCGCACCGCGCCGCCCCCGCCGGGCCATGCGAGCGCGGGCCCCGCCGCGATGAGCTCGCACATCGCCAAAAGCGAGTCCAAGACGTCGCTGCTGAAGGCGGCGGCGGCGAGCGGGGGCAGCCGGGTTCCCCGCCACGGCCCTGCCCGGGAGCCAGGGCTGCCTGGCCGCCGGCTGCCCGGCACCGGCCCCGGCACGCCGCCGCCGTCCGGGGACCCCAGTTCGCGGAGGCCCCTGTGCCGGCCGGCGCCGCGAGAGGAGGGAGCGCAGGGGAGCAGGCGCGGGCTCCCCCAGGCGCACTGCAGGCCCCGGGAGGCGCTGCCGACCGCGGCGTCCCGACCTTCGCCGCCGTCGCCGCTGCCGCCGGCCCGCGGGCGGGATGGGGAGGAACGGGGGCTGTCCCCGGCGCTCGGCCTCCGGGGCTCGCTGCGAGCCCCGGGTCGCGGGGACTCCGCTCCAACCGCCGCGTCCGAGGCAGACCCGTTCCTCCACCAGCTGCGCCCCATGCTCAGCTCCGCCTTCGGCCAGGTAAGGGCCGCGCCTCCCGCCCGCGCTCCCGGGCAAGGCGCTCGGGACCCTGCGCTGCTGCGCGCCCACAGCCCTCCTCCCGCTGCCCGCGGCCCCCGGTTACGCTCCCCGTAGTCCTTCCGCAGCCCTGCGCCCTGGCCGGCACTCCTCCTCCCCCCCGGTGCCTGATTCAGCACCCTGTGCGCTGTCCACGCTCCGGGCCTCTCCTGGGCGAGGCACCAGCGCCTCGCCGCCCTCCACCTGCCAGAATAGGCCAGTTCTGAAAGGGAACGGCCGCCGCAAGCCGTCCGGAGATTTGCAGGGGTCAGCAGGGGCGCTCCGAGCAGGTGGCGCCAAATCCACTCCTCTGGTCTCCAGCCAAGACTGCCAGTGAGCCACCCAAAGGAGCAAGGGGTTTGGAGTAGGGGGCTCAAGAATGGCTACCTCGGGGCACACAGCCTTGCTTGGGGATGGGGGACGCTGGTCGCGGGCTGTGGTGGCCCCAGGGACCTGGGAAAAGTTAGGAGAGCTAGATGGAGACTCAAAAATACGAGAAAAGAGAAGTGTCTGGGTAGCACGGAGGGGCTACACAGAGCTATGGCTCAAATCGGAACTTCAGGGGTGTTTTAAGGAGGTTGTCACTCCAGGGATGTCACTAGGATGGCGGTTGGGCAGTTGTCAGGTCGTAGAACGTGAAATAACACCCTAGCCTGAGTCGATGTGCGTTCTAGGGTCAGAAAGGTCACTAAGGGTTCACCAGTGGCTACACTCGTTTCCTCTAGGTCTTTCTCTTAAGGGTCCTGGGCGGCTGAGCATCTGTCCTCTAATCCAGGTCTCCAGTCTGGGGTGCACTGCTGGGGAGAGAGGTTCGTGGAAAAGAACCTGTGAACTCCCGAGCAAAGCCAGGGTTGCCTCTAGTTCTGAGTCCGTAATTAATTCAAACTCACTAGCACAGCGTTGAGACCGTTCTGCGGCAGCCGAGGAGGGGAGTAATGCAGGGGTCTGATGGCAGAGTTTGCATGATGTGTGGAGGAAGAGAGGGCCCTGAGTGGTTCTGTGCTGGGATGTAGTGTAGAGAAGCTGTTTCAAGCTCCTGGCTCGCCATGCGGGATCAGAATTCCAAGGAGGCCGTGTGTGTATTTTGCCTCAGATCTGCACATTCCTTTTCAAAATACTACTCCGTGGCGGCTGAGGCCGGTGGAGGTCTGACATGAAGGAGCTGCACGTGGATTCGGGTTGCGCGGGGCTGCTGTGTGGTGTGATAGGGCAGCAATGTGTGGCTTTGTTCCTGTGGGGAGCCCTCGTTAGCCGAGTTAGCTGGAAGCAGTTCTTCAGAGTAGAGATTTGGAGGCAGAGCTTTGAGAGTGTTGAGCGCAGCAACGTGTTGAGGTGGAAGTTCACTGCAGTGGCTTATGTATTTGGTAGGAGGTGTGGGGTGTTCGGGCAGTGGTCTGTGGAGCGGGTCTGGGTCATGGAATCGGTGACATCTAGTCATACATCTATCAGATATTTGGGGGCATCTACTTTGCCCAGGTATTTGTGGGGCACGAAGGAGACACCAGTGGACACGACAGCCGGGCTTCTGGCTGTTTTGGAGCTTACAATCTAGCAGTTTATGAGGGTGAGTCACTGGCCCAGAATCACTCACTTTCTGGTTATTCATTTTGCTGCGAATATGACTTTGTTCCTAGAAAAAGAGCCTCTTCTTTTTCCAGTCTTAACAGAATTTGCCTGCATGGGCCCTTTGTGAGCTCAGAGCATTTCAGCTACCTGCTTTTCTTCCTCCTCCTGCTTTCTTAGTCATTAATGAAGACTATTCTCCAGCCCAGTATTCTGAAATGTCACCAGGGTCACCTGAGTCAGGAAGAGCTGGAAGGTCCCATCAAATATTTACCACCTCCCTCTGGAAGCTCTTGACTATGGAGCTGCAGACTTTTTCTGTAAAGCTCAGCACATTCAGTTTGGGCTTCCTGCTAACAGCTCTGAGGCATCTGCTTGAACAGCAGCGGCAATGACAACGGAACCCAGCCTGGGACTTTTGGGTCAGAGTCTCCAGTCTCCTGAGACACTGAGACAGAGGGAAATTAGTCTTTCCTTCTCTTCTCTTTGTATTGAGATTTCTGTTCTTAGAGACAGGGCCAGGACCAAGAGAAGGGACATAGGTTCTGAATATGGAAACCTTCGGATAGAATCTGTTTAGGGCAAAATATAGTCCTGGGAGATTTTTTCTCATGTCTCCCAAGTTCTATTTTTTTTTTTTTTTAACCTTAAGTGAATCGCTTAACCTCATTAAGCCTCTGTTTCTTTATCTGCAAAATAGGGAAGATCGTAGTACCTCACTGGGTTTGGGGGAATTAAATGGGACGTGGAGATATGTACAGATTTTGGCCAGTGCATGGTCCAGAGCAAGGGCTCCATTGATATTAGTTATTATTATTATTATTATTGTTGTTGTTGTTGTTATTGCTGATTAACTACCAAGTGCTGTCCGAGACCTTCTTCCTTCCATTTGTACTAGAGTCAGGGAGAGCCAGGGCTCAAAGTGACACTGAAGGGACCGAGATAGACTCCCATGTTAGAGGGAACAGGAATTAAGATTCTTTCAGTGACCTCCCAGAGCATCCTTACTGCCTGCAGGCAAATGGTGTGGTTTTGAGTCGAAGCCATAGAATGGTAGCTTGGGAGAAAGTAGAGATGTAGGTTCCAGTCCCAGCTCTGTCACTTCCCATTGCTGTGATCTTGGGCCTGTTCTCCTCTCCTCTTTCTCTGGTCTGGGTTTGTTCATCCAGAAATGAGATTGACAAAAACTACCTTGCAGAGCTATTAACGAGGGTCACACAAGATTAAGGATATCAAATGGACTGGCTCCAGTATGTTCTGGAAAAAAAGGGTAGCCTTCATTAATGTTATTGTTAATAAAGTAACTGTCTGAATGTGGGCCTGTGTAAGGTACTTTGAAAGCTGTCTCTGAGCAAGGTGAGAAAGGCCATTAAAGGTAGGAGCTGAATTACAAGGGACCTTCCCTAGTACCCTCTTTGTGGCCAGCTAAGGACATGCCACCCAGCGGCCTAGAGAGATGTGATATCAGACATTAACTCAGAATAGGCATGATTTGGGGCAACTCTTGGCATTGGGTCTTGTAAAACTATTTTAAGAACAGTTTTTCTGCTCCTTACTCTAAGCTGGGGAAGAAACACCCCTTGTAGCGGAGGCAGATGTGTATAAAACCCACATCTCTGTCCCATCCTTCCCCTTTTTCTAGCTCTAGCGACATCTCTTCTGATTTGAATAGACTAGCCCAATTCCCAAGCTGCTTTGCACATAACAAGGTCACGGTATCTAATGGGTGAATGACCGGTATCTCCAGCCTCAGGTCTGCAGAGGTTTCTTAGTTCCTATAGCTTAGAGGGCTGTGTACCGTATTCACTCCGGCCCTGCAAAGTCTCTCCCTACTTGGGCAAGAAGCCCCTATTGCTTTTCCCCTGGGGCCTGGGGAAAGGGAAAGAGAAGGTCAGCTTGTGGTTGATATCAATCCTGTGGAGTCCTCCCAGACAGCTGCGTTTGCCTTTAGCTGTTTGGGGGAAGCAGCAAGGGTGCTTGAGACCTCAGTCAAGAGCTCACTAAACAATTGCCCAAGTATCTTCTCAGCCACCTGTGAAGGTTGGCATTATCATCCCTGATTTTAGAGATGAGGAAACAGTCTCAAGAGAGGGGAAGTGGCTTGTCCAAAGGCCACACAATAAGTAAATGGCAGGACTGTGATCTCTAAAGAACTGGTTGGGTGGGAAGTCACATAAGAGTGTTTCCTATTTGTCAGAAGCATCCACAAAGCACCTCTCAGGTTACGACCCAGCTTTCCCTAAGTGCGTTCACCCTGGGCTGTCATCCAAGTCTGAGCACTGGTGATAGAACTGATTAGGGCTGGAGGCCAGCCTCCCTCCTAATCAGGAATAATCAGCAATGGGTTTATCCTCCTCATCCCTCTGGTCCTATTATTCCATTCCAGAACTCCAAGGGTGGGCTTCTGGAAGCCCAGGGGCTGCTGCCCCAGTGAAGAGGGACGGGAACGTGGGGCTATGTCATGAGCTTTGCTCCTTAGAGAAGCCCCTACTGTTCAGCCCTTTTAAAAACTTGCTGCTAAAGGTCAAGCCAGCTGCTCCCTCTAGATACCAGTTATCCCTGTCCCTCGGGACCACCACGGCCTGCCCTGCCCTGCCCTAAATAGCTTAAGTGAAGCTCTGAGTTTGAATCCCTGAGTCCCTTGCTGCCTTCAGCCTCAACCTAGGGTCAGCATCCTTCCCTGTAAAGAAGGATGGGATTTATTCAGAGTGCATGACTTTTCCGCGGGGGCCTGATTTTGCTGTCTCCTGTCTCCTGCTTCCAAGGACAGGCATATTCCAAGGTCGGCAGGCGGGTGCTGTGCTCAGGGCTGGCCTGCAGGGGGCAGGAGTCACCAGGTCTGACTGAGTGGGTGTTCTGCTGAGTATGGAGAGGCCGGCACAGCGGGCCCTTTAAGACCAACGCTGGGCAGGCGAAGGGGTACCTTCTAGGTGCCTGGCACTGTGTCAAGCCCTTTGCCTGTATTATCTCACTAACTCCTCACAACAGCCCTTGGAGGGAAGGGTTATTAGTGTACCCATTTTATAAAGAAACTGAGGCTCAGAGATTTACAAGTTCTCAAGGTCATAGAGTTTGCTAGGCAGCAGGGCAAGATTTGAACCCAGGTTTGTCTGCCCTTGCATTCCAAGCTCTTAGTATCTGTGTCCATGGCCCTCAACACTGGCTGCGGATCAGAATAACCTGGAGCACTAACCACCACCAATGTCCAGAGCTCACCTACACCCATTAAATCAGAATCATCTGCAGCTAGCATTGAGAATCTTCACTTGACGCTGCGCTGCCTTTCCATATATCTGCCCAGGTAGTTAATATGAATTGGGTTTGTACCTGGAACCTAACTGGATTTCCCTCTGGGGTCCTTGGTGAGCGCCAGCTTGTCAAGAGTCTGCAGATGGTTGCTT